CTTCTTCACTCTGGAAACCAGCTTCCCACTCTCATCCTTCACAAAGGGATTCTCGGAGGAAGAAGAACTCAAGCAAGAGGAGGACGGCGGCCCAGAAAACCCATAAAGTAAAAGGGGAGCCACATCGAGAACTGCATCAGAGCTCCCCCTAAGGAGAAGCACGTTGAGGCGGAAAAATGGTAGTCCAAAAACCTTACCTATGACAGGACCGAGGAGCTGTCCGACGACAACGAAGATACCCATGATGACACCGTAGAGCTTCATATCATCATTGTCACTTACGTCAGTAAGGTACGCTACGATTACAGGACGAGTACCTGAGTCAATATTATCTAAAGATGAGGAGGACTAACACTGTATTACCAGCTAGGACTCCTTCAAGAGCTCTAAAGCCAGCTAAACTTGCCAGATCCCAAGCGTTGGCATCAGCAAACTGAGCTCCAGTATAGAGAAGGAGGGCGATAAGGAAGAGAGGACGACGACCCACTCTAACGAATGAGAACTCCATAATGTCCTGGCCTCCTATTCGCATTACTACCTATCAGATAGAGGCCCGGTGAACAGAGATGTAACGAACATTCCTATATTGTAAGAGGACATAAGCACCGATGCTGCAGTCCCTTGACCCATATCAGGCGCCAGCTTTTTAACGTACCTAGCACCGGCAATGGTGATCAACTTGGACACCAAGCTTACCAAGGGGTGATGGGTGCCATCAGTGTCGCTCCTATCCACTCTACGAGCACACTGGAGAAGACCATTCCCAGGTCTGCTACTCTCCGGGGATCAGTCCTCAGCCTGTAACGTAATCTGCTGTAAAATCCTAGCTTACAGTACTCCTCCTCCTCTTCCTCTATGTTAGGCGCCATCCTCAAAGGAATATATAATCAAACTACAACCGTACACCTCACCGCTCCACCGAGAGCCCATAGAGTCGCTGCGTATCTCGACTTCCCGCCCCCACGTAGAGAAGGCCTCGCTTGTCTCAAGGCGCTCCACTTGCTTTAACCGATGTACATTCCAGCCATCCGGGCTATTCACATATCTCCATCACAGTAAGTGACACAATAGTGCCACTTACAACGCAAGAAAATTGCAGGAATCTCCATTGGCACTGCTACGGCCGAAGAAACTATCAGCCTCACTTGAATATGTTAGCCTATATCTGTCATTTCCAGGACTTGCTCGACTGTTTGTTCTACACCACCTGACCAATTGTGACATCGTAATTTCCAATGGAAATTACGATATTTGACAACTGTTATCAATCGGGCATTGTATCAAATCTGAGGGAGATGCATAATACGGGGCACCAGGTTTCGCCAACTCGCCAAACTTGGCGAAACCTGTAACCGAATGGTCAAATGACTAGTTGGCAAAATCGTGTATAACCCCCTCGCAGACGGAATTACAGCGCATTGGTATCTGTAGCGAACAGGTTTCGACGAAATTTTTGGTACGACCGTTCACCAAACTTTCGAATTCGCTCGCCCGTACGCGCAAACCACCTTCATAGCATATAATTTGCCTACAAGGGGTGGTCCAAATCCGTTTCTGTGCAGGATAGGACCATAATTT